TTTTTTTTTTTTCTCAAAAATTATAGATTATATATTTGTTTTATGATATAACTTTAGACTCATTCGTCATTTTAAATAATATTATTGATGAATTTAAAATTTTATTATTTAAAAAAAGCTATTATTTTATACATACTGTTGTACTTAAAAATACTCGAACTCGAAGTCCCCCACTGGCCAAAATATGAAACAAGGCCCAAAGGACGTGCAACCCATCTCGCGACCAGCGCAAGAGCGCATAATTGGGTTGTCGATCCCCCGATCGGCTCGAAATTAATGTTTGTCGATCACCCTCGGAGCCTTCTTGAAGAAATTGGCGATCGCCATTAATCTAAACAGAGAATTGCTAAAGCTGATGATGCAGCCCAACTTGTCACATCCTCAAAAGTGGAGCACTGCATGGATACACGCAACGTCACCCTACTCCCACAACTGACACTTAGCATTTAACGTTCTTCGATTTTTTTTTCGTGTATAAATATCGATCACATCCGGGTCTAAAAACAAAAAGGAGAGAATTATAAAAACAAAATCAACCACGTCCTCATATGAGTTGATCGTCTCATATCACGCACAACACAAACACATAGCACCCTCATATATTCTATACGACTGTAACTTTATACAAATCTTCAATAAAATATATCGGAGAAACGATCTCCTTGTCGGTCACAACAGCCAATCGACAACATCAGTGTGTCGCTTTCTTTTTTATATTTGTTTCCTTCAATTTGTTCATATTGTTTGCAATTCATATACACCATAGATGCTTTGCAACCCCCGATTAAATCGCATAATTTACATCAATTATAATTGTTGGCGACCAATCGTCAACAGAATGACACTAGAAGGGGGACGACCATTAAGGGTTACATATGAACCTCGTCCCTATATAAAGTCATTACCCGATAAGATTTTTTTCATACACCCATCTTCTCTTCTATTTCATACATCCTTGTCGGATGCAGGGCGACACAACTGACACCCTCTTTCTTGTTATCGACCGGATGAAAGAGCGGTTCTACAGACCCTCCGTCTCCGATCATCCCGTTACTCTGTCGAAATAAAAATATTCCCAATAGTATCCAAATAGTTATTTTTTGTCTCCTCACTACACATAAAGCTTAGATCTATATATTGTGGTCAAAATACACATTAGCCCACATTTGATAGGAAAATAGATCGATTATGCGATTAGCTCACCCTCAACAAGAATATGAGGGTGGAAGGAAGGCTTGTCGGTTCTCGAGTAATCACGACCCTATCCAAATATTTGATTTTTGTTCAATAAATGAAGTAAGACTTGACTCAAGTTCGACTTGTGTAAGCTTGTGACACCTTAGTTCAGATCGAACCATTTAATATTTTTAAAATTTAAATCAGCTATTGGAAAACACCAAAAGTTAATCTAATAATAAGTTCGACTAAATTATTTTCTTCCACACTCGTAAAAAAGAGCTGTATACGAACATATTCAGTTCAACTTGTTTAGGAATCTATATATATATAATAAGAATTAACATTTACTATAAATAGTAGTAAGGAAAAGTCAATTACATTTATTATATACTATTTTTAGCAAATTTTTAATTTTAATTTTAATTCATTATCAAAAAATTGAATAGTTCCTAGATTAATGGGTTTTAAATGCACGTATCATGTTTCAAAAATTATAAATCATTTAAAATCGGAGGGTTCCTAAATTAATGGTTACAAATTTTTCAAAGTTGTAATCTTTTTGGCATCTTTTCTTTTTGACTTTTAATGATAAAATTATTTTAAATATATATATTCTAATCCAAAAATTCAATCATGTTAAATATATATATATATATATATATATATATATATATATTGAACGCTAAAAATATTTTTTAAATTGCATACCCAATCAATTAATCTTAATTTTTTTTAAATTACTATCTTTATTTTTTATTAATATGCATAAAATGAAAATAAATAGTTCATCTTTAGATATATAATTTATAATCTTAATATACTATCATTTGGTGTAGACATATGAATCATAAAATATTTTTATTTTATAAAATTAAATATTATATTTAAAGAAAAATAAGGAAAATACTTTGGATCAATCGGGTGATTGAATTAAGGTACTGCCCACTTTGATTGAATTACTTTTAGGTGATATTTAAAATAGTCAAAAAACTTGACACAACTTAGTTGGTCCGAGGTAACTAAGTTATGTATCAGTTTGACCAGACCAAATTAAAATTTAATCTTGAAAATACTTTATTACGTGAATGTGATGTAGTCCAAACTTCAAATAATCATATTAACAATACTTTTATGACAACATGATTAATGATTTATGAATATTTATATATCATTTTATCATTATTTATGTGAACAAAATATTTAATTTGATTATCATTTTTATTAATGTACGGTAAATATAAGGTTTTCAGAATTGGGTCGTCTTGTGGTTGTTCGGATTTTAATACATAATACTTTTTGTAATAAATTTAAATAAAAAGTGTTACTTAAATATCTAAACAATTTATAAATTCAAATGTTTAAACGAATTGATAAACAATTTATAAATCTCTATTTTATTTAAATATGTAATTTTATTTAAAATAATTTTTCATGTAACAAAATTTGTTTAGAAAATCGTATCGATCTTACCAGTCCAACATACTGGTGTTGGCGGATTCGATAGCTAATATTTTATTCAAGCGCACTAAATCGGTTATAAACCGGTTCTCGGTCCATCCGGTCGGACTGTGTCCAACCCGGTTTAATTTATAAATAATGCATAAATCATGATTATTGTTATTTATTTATTTAATTTATAATACAATCAAAATATTATTTTCCCGTACATCGCACGGGCCACATACTAGTGGGTAGAAATCTATCTTTTATACCAAAACATTTGATTAACATTTTTAGTTAGGAATACAATATATTACAAAATTCCCCTTTCTCACCACAATAAGTTGCGACTCTATTGTAATTGGTGAAAACAATGTTCTCATTAATCTTAGTATTTTTTTTCATTGATTACATACTCATACACATATTCGTGCACACACAACCATACATATGCGTGTTAATCCAAGGATAAAAATTCACTGTCACAAGCGAATTGAATTTATCTTTAACCACATATAACCCTAAAAAAGATAGTACACGAAGCATTAATTGTTGTACCCACCAATGATATATAAACACCCAACAAGCTTAGAACGATTGCCGTATTTACTGATTTTGACCGACGGGCACACTCTCAACTCTCAAGAAGTAACTCTCCTCAATGTCCCCCGCTAGCACCGCCGCTGGCGGTGGCCCAAACCACCGCTCCACCGCTCCCCTCTCTCTGAAAACCGAAACCAAGCCTCTGCCCTTGAACGCAGCCGAGATGATTGACCCCTTAGCCTCATCCTCGTCGGGCCCGATTCGCGTGGACGGATTCGAGCACGACGCCGCCCTATCCAATTCGGAGTTCTTGACCCGATCCGAAGTCCTCAATCGCCGATCCCGCAGGGTGAAACAGCTCGCTCGGATTTACCGCGACCACTACTGGGCGTTAATGGAGGAGCTAAGGTTGAAGTACAGGGAGTATTATTGGGATTACGGGAAAAGCCCTTTTGCGGAAGATGAGGACGACGAGAAGGTTAATGCGCACCGTGGGGATTGCGCTGCCTTACCTGGTGAAAATGTGAATTTAGGGGTAAACGGTGGTGGTAAGGTTAGCGGTAGGTGTGAGGTCCATGGGTGCAAGGCCAAGGCCATGGCATTAACGAGGTTTTGCCATATGCATATAACGTCTGATGCCAAGCAGAAGCTTTACGAGAGTTGCACTTTCTCTATAAAGAGGTTTGTTTTATTTGATTTTGGAATCCTCTAAAACTTTATTTCCAAATTATTTGGTTTTGTTCGAGACAGTGAACTTAAAGACTTCTACATTTGGTGTAGTATGGAGTAGCCTTGTTGTTTCCAATCAAACTGCAGTATGATTCGACTGTTGATTCCGGTGATTGGCTATGTGATTTTAAGAGAATTATTGCAGGAAACATATGGTTTGGATGTATACCAGATTCTTATGAAGCTGGTTAATTTTCTTAAAGTTATACAAAATGTTGTTGCTACCATTTGCTGTCACAGGAAACCCTAAATCGCCCTCTCTTCACAAGCCTTGTTGTTGCTACCATTCTTAAGTTATACTCATGCTTGGTCTTAGATTCATGGAATTTTTTATTTTCTTTAATTTCTTGGAGGCGTAGTTGGCGTAAGGCAGTTGGTCACTAAAACCACCACACATGTTGAATAATTGTATAGTATAATATCAGAAAATTAGTACTCTACTGAATTAAGAATCTCGCTAAAATAATATTTTTGACTTGTTCTGGTGAAGGAATATGTGGCGAGTTAGTAACATGCTAGTTATACGATACTCCCTCTTATTTTTAATAAATGTCGTTTTGAGAAGTTGCACAATAATTAAAAATATTTTTTTTGCCGATAATAACCCTCGAGGATAGAGATTGATGTTTTGAGAAAAGATGGAGAGTGAATATGAAAAGACGTAGTGTATTTATTAGTTAGATGAGGGTAATAATGGAAAAATATGTAAAAAATAGCTAAAACGACATTTATTTAACAAATAATCAATTAAGCTAGGATGACAAATAATAAAAATAGGAGGGAGTAATACTTATAAGAAAGTTCGTGTAGTCGCTCAGTATTCCCCATATATGCAGTTATATTTATGTGCTCGGACATCTGTATACTTTCTTCGTAAAAAAGCTATTATTGTTCGTTTTTCTTAATTGAAGGAACTGAATTATTATTTAACGGCATTGCTTCTTAAGAGTTTTAATTTACCTACACAAGAATTGTGCTTCTATTTCATTACTTCTTATCAGTTTGCACTATGCCGTCAATTTTTTCTCACAATTCATCATCTGCAGTTATGTTATTTTCTTTATGGTATTCTAAGAGATCTTCGATATCAACTCCTTTGTATCCATCCAATGTTTGACTAAATTTAGTAATTCTAGGTGTTGTTGCAATCTTAATTGTCATTAAGATTCTCTTAAGCCATATTACTCATTTACCAAAGCTTATAGTGGTGAAACACAATTTACATGAGTGTATACATTAACACTTCGCCAATTCTTACTCATGGTATCCTTTTGGCTATCCTAAGGTTATCAGTTCATTGGATTGGACTATGGTCAATTTCTCTGCCAAAAAATGGGTCCGGCAATAAATGCTGAAGAAAAATTCTAGTTGTTGAATAGTGAGAAACGAATAAAATGTAATTGCATGTTACTTTTGTCATTTTGTGCGTTAATGAATATGTATCATTATTAGAAGCTCTCCTTTATTCTATACAGATCATTATTAAGTTTTTCTCTTGGATTATTCTCAGTAAATTTTTTACTGCTTCAATTAGAATGTCAGCAAGGGGTCAAGCTTTAAATATCATGATATAATCACGTAGTGGTGTATCGCACAATTTCGGCATATATGTAACAGATTCTGATGTTCATGACATAAAAGGCTGCTCATTCTACTCCGATTGATGATAGATGTCTGTTGCATTTAGATCTAATACTAAATATGATTGGTTAATCTGGCGGCATTATGCTGCCATTGAGTTGTAGTTTATGCTCTTTTAAGCTCTTATAAAAGAAGTGTCTCAATAGTTTCTTGAAGATGATTTCAATTTCTACATGGGATAAAAAGGCATCATCCATGCTAATTTTAGTTCCCTTGTCTTTGAAAATTCTTTTTCAACCTTTTACATTTAATCACAGCTTCTGATGACAAAATTCATTATCTGCTTGAATCGAGTTTCTTTGTTATTCCAGTTATATTATCTTTATGCAATCTCTGTAAATCCCTATTTTATTTTCGATATTCGTCACTGCTTCTATTTTCACCCAAATTGATTTTTTTTTTCCAGTTCCACCACCGGACCAATACTCTGCGGGAGGCCGTTAATGAAATCGACAGTCCCTTCATATTGCCCTATGCACTTCCAAAAGGCAGAGAACCATATGGTGCGTGCTCTCAAGAAAGCTGGTCTCAACGTGTCCTCGACGAGCAAGCTCACCCCAAAGCTCCATGTCATAGTCGCAGAGTATGTCCGCCAGATCCAGAACAAGAGACGGGCTGCAAAAAAAGCCAATCTTGAAATTAAGGAGGAAACCAACTCGTGATGCTTGATTTCACGGTTGTAAAAGTTGATATAGAATATACATTCTTTGGTTCCTTGAGCAAACGCGTGTTTAAGCTGCAAATTTGAAATCAATATTTGGTGTGTATCAATGGATTGTAGAACCTTGCGGACTAACTTGAGTTTAATATGAGTCTTGCACATATTAGAGTTGCAATCTGCGGGTTGAAGTTTTCTCTTATCATTATCGCTTTAGCTCAGCCTTTCCACAGTCTGGGGAAATTTTATTTTTCTTTTTTCCTTGTTTTATTTATTCATAATGGATGGGTGTATCTCACTGGAAAAAAGGTGTGTGCTGGTGTGGTTAATACTTAATATACTAAGTCTATATTTAGTAGACAAATAAATTAACTTATAGTTTATTTGGTTAGCTTATAAGTTTTTTATATTTAAATAAGTTTTGTTTGGTAAGACATACTTTTTTAGAAAGCTCGAGCTTATCTCATAAGTTTCTTTAGGTACCTTTTCAAATAAGCTCTAGTTTATTTGGTTAGCTTATAAGTTTTTTGTATTTAAATAAGTTTCGTTTGCTAGGACAAACTTTTTTAGAAAACTCGAGTTTATATCATAAGCTTCTTTGAGTACCTTTTCAAATAAACTCGTTGAATTTTTTATTTCAGTCAGCTTATCAACTAATTTTACCGAACACTTTTATCATATAAGCTAGTTTTTCAATTATCAGTGATAAACTATAAGCTTAAAAATCATTTATAAGCTATAAACGAGTTTATTTTTATTTGTAAAGATAGTTCTAGACTTCCAGTGTTGGAAATTAGGGTTGTTATTGGGTGTCAAGAATATTATTAATTTTATCTTATAATGTTTTCATCAAATAAATTTTAAAATATATTTTTTTGTTCACTTTTACAATGGAGGAAAAAAATATGTGCTAAACTTGGTTGTGCCACGGGTAGCATTCGGGAATGGACAATTTCCATTTAAGGTTTTAAGCGCCAAATACGACTCATTTTGGAGCCAAGCCTTTTAATTTGTTTCGTTCCATTTTATTTAGTTTCCCTCTCTTTGTCGCTGGCGGGAAACAAATTTGTAAACAGAAAATCACACCAACAAAACACGGTCATTGCTCTCTTTTTTTTTTTTCATCTCCTCTTCGATTATTTTTTCCGGTAACAAAAAGTCCATCTGAAGCAAAAATGGCGGAAATTGAGCCGATGCAAATCGACGGTGCAGAGCACATCAAGCCGGCAACCGACGGGCCAGGTCAGAAGAAGAAGCAGCTGAAGAGAAAAAGAGTGCAGCCGTGTTTGCTCCCCCAAAGCCCAGAGGAAAAACACGCGAAAATCATTGCATTTCGCAGTGAAATCAACAGGCTTGTTGAGCTGTGTAAGGTTTTAGTGTTCGAAAACAGGTGGGAATTATTGGAAAATGTGGAGAAAGTTCGGAAATCAATGAACAGTGTGATTGCGTGCTTAATGGAGGAAAGTGACCTTCCTTTATCTAGGTTAGTTGATGAGATTTTTGAGAGAGTTAATGGCGTCAGTGGGGTTAGTGACGGCGTTAGCAAGGCTTCTGTCAAAAGTAGTGTGCTTATAATTGGACAGAGACTGTGTTATGGGGTGATTAGTGCCGATGCTGATGTTTTGGAAGATGATTCTGAGTCAGCTCTTTGGTGCTGGGAGGTATACATTCCGGTCAACGTCCTTTATTTTTGTGGTTTTCTCTGATCTGCTGAATGTTGTATGTGAATGTGATGTTTGCTTGTTTATTGCTTTCCGTATGATAAATATTGCTCATGATTTCATAACATTTTGTGTGGGATTGTGTGGTATATTTTTTATTTTGTCTGTTTTGCATCACATTCTATGGCTGAAGAGTGATTTCCATTTACGCTGTGTTTCATTGCTGGGTATATGATTTGCTGGTTTTTGAATCTGCTAAGGTAACAACTTGTTAGGTAGTGATCGGGTATTTGGGCAAGAAAGTAGAGCTATCTTCTGTTGTCTGTTTAGAAGATCAAAGTAAATTGAATCCGGATTTCAACTTTTGTAAAAAGAAAAAGCGAAGCAGCTCTAGTGTAATATTTTGCTGTCATTATTTGTATCTATTTGCTATTACAAGTTGAGCCAATGCGTGAATTTTTTGTTATTGCGTTAGATCTTTATCCAGCTGGGTTATGTTTCTCGTGCTAGCTAACTTATTTTATGTATCACGAGCTACTTGCCATTTAAAATTTTAATCATATTAAATTGGTTTTAGTTTCATCTCTGTGTAGATCTTTCCAATTCTTATAATGACTTGATTTGTTATAGTACTTGTTATTCCATCTTAATTATGGGTTTTGCTTCTTTTATATAAATTATTGATTCCTGTTCTCTATCATAGACAAGAGATTTGAAGTTGATACCACCACTAATTCGTGCCTCTCTGAAAGTTCGCCGCACTTGTCGGAAAAAGATTCAGGATAGGATTATGGCTGTTTCTGGTAAATTCTGACTGGACTACTTCATACACATAATTTTCAGTAGGTTTGTGTCAGTGATTTTAATTATGGTGTTGGTGTCATGAGGGAGTGAAGTAGCTTTTTACTTGAGATTTAGTTGTTTATTTCATTAATTTGCAAAGACGCAGAGCAAAAATCTGGAAATTAGGCTGTCGAAGTCCTTCGGATTACATACCTCTTTATGGAAGCTTATACTTTATTCTTCCACCCACCAACAATCAATTAATTAGACTTAATAAGGTATTCTCTATCTGGGTTAAACACTGAAGTGGATATTATATTAGGAGTTGCAGGGAACTAGTAATTATATAGAGGAAGAATAGATGCATAATTTATTTTCTATTGTGCAGGAAAATTTCATTTACACGATTCTCTTTCTTTTTACCTCTTTTAGCAAACCAATGTCTTCATGATATAATCTTCCTGATTTTGTGGACATTATAGTTTATCCTTTAAAATCTGTATTTTACTATTGAATTTTTATTCATTGTTTGAAGCTTTTCATCTGTTTTATCTTACCGTCATCCTTCTCTGGTCCCTTGTAAATTTATTGGTAACTTTGTATGTCTCAGCTACGATAAATGCCCTGGAAAGGTCAGAAGATAGTCCAAGTTTTGTGCAAGAACTGACGAAAGCTTCAGAGAAACTCAATAAAGTTTTTAATGAAGATGATATTCGGCTGTTAGTGGATAACATGACACATAAAGTTGGTTCTGAAATGTAGGTATCAATGTTAGTGCTTAGCCAGGCCTTTTTTGACTTTGAATTATCAGCCTAATCACTGTTTCATTTTGCGAAGAGCTGAGAAAGAGACCAAGAGAGAAGAAAAACTGTTAATCAAGCAGATGGAGAAGCGCAAATGTGAAAAGGAGAAAGAGAGGAAGAGGATAGATCTGGAACTTCAGAAGGAAAAATTGCATAGTGTATGTAATCTTGGAATTTTATAATTTATTTCATAGGTTGCATTTTAACATTCTATGTTTACTTACAACATCATTATCACATAAGTCCTAACACAAGTATCCATATATTTTACAGGAGAAAGAGCTAAGGCGGTTGCATGATGAGGCAGAAAAGGAAGAAAGGCGGCGCGAGAAAGAAGAAAATGAAATTCAGAAGCAGCTGAGAAGGCAGCAAGAGGAGGCCGAGAAAGAACAAAGGCGTAAGGAAAAGGAAGAAGCTGAGTCAAGAAAACGTCTGGCTCTCCAAAAGCAAGCGTCACTCATGGAGCGTTTTCTTAAGAGAAACAAAACTAATTCTTCGTCTCAAAAGGACAGCCCCATGAATAATGTAACCACATCAGGTTCACCTTCGAACATGCCTGAGAAAATGCCTGGATCTGTTACTGTAACAATGGATTCAATATTGGCCCACAATGATGGAGCTGAAGTGGAAGTCATATGGAGGTTTGTCTTTTTGACTATCTATCTTGTTTTAAAACAAGTTGTAGGACCTTCCGGTGGATATAAGTGTAAGCTTTTTTCCTCTTTGCAGTTCACACTTAAATGCCTGGCATAGCATTGGACGCTTGATGCAGTTGAACAGGAAAATGCATTGGGGCATACGTCAGAAGCCAAAAACCGAGCTGGTCAAGGAATTAAAGCTTACTACCAACAAAGAACTGTATTGTGATGGGGACTTGAACGAGGAGAATCTTGATGTTGGATGGGTTGATTCCAATGCTGACAGAACATCTTCTCATCTGAACACTGATGATAATCCTATTACCTGTGATAGGAAGCGTATTCGAGCTAGGAAGCTGTTGCAGTTTGATAAGAGCTATAGGCCTGCGTTTTATGGGGTTTGGCCCAACAGAAGGTCAGATGGTTTATCAAATTCTCTCTTAATATCTCATATACTGGTAGTGGAATTTTGGTGTATAAGGAGAAACAGCTATGGGCTACATTTAACATGATAGTTTGCTGGACATGGCCTATTTGTCACAGTTTGTGTAAAATATATATTTTCATTATGTAGTATTACTAAATCTGAGATTGAATTCAAGCATGGTTATGTGTTTGCTGACATCCTTTTTGACGCTTGAAACTGAGGTGGAGGATATCCACTGAGTTGCTAAGCTTTGAGGTTGTAATGTGGCGAATGATTTTTCCTGGAGTTGACTCTTTTGTTGTTTGTGATTATAAAGCATCTTTCTTTTTCTTACATGAGTATGTACTAAGTTGAAATGTAGTTAAATTCTTGCTTGCCTATTGACGAATTGTATCTTTCCTTCTGACCTCATATCTTGACCTTTTTTCTAGTCAAATTGTTGGTGGACGTCATCCTTTTGTGAAGGACCCTGATATCGACTATGAGATTGATAGTGATGAGGAGTGGGAAGAGGTATGCTATCTCCGTTATTTACAAGTGGTTATTCTCATAATGACATTTATTATAATTATAGACTGGTTACACAGGATGAACCTGGTGAAAGCTTATCAGATTGTGATAAGGACGAGGAAGAAAATATGGAAGGACATGTTAAGAATGACGATGAGGATGAAAGTGAAGATGGGTTCTTTGTTCCTGACGGATATCTGTCAGAGAATGAGGTGCTTAGCCTATTAAAACACCTCTTCTTTTCTTGAATTTATCGATATGCATACGGGCGGACGCCTCTGTTGAGATATCGTGATATGGTGTTTGTTGCAATATATAATTTGGTTACATGCAAAAGTTTGTTTTCATTTATTTTTTTCTTTTGGTTCTGGTTTTGGTTTCTGGTATGGGTCTGCTGAACTGAACAGGAAACATAATTATATTTTATTATAGATGTTCTTATATGCTTCTTATGCAATACTTTATGGACGTTGCTTGTTGCAACTATTTATTTTTGCTTACCAGTGTAACAAATAATGGCGTAAAAAGTAAATTTATAGTTTCATAATCTATTTGCTCTTTTGACTTAGAATATGGTTAATTAGCAAGTACAAGTTAGAAACAGAAAAGAGAACAACTGTAACTGATCAAATTATGTAACTCTTTGATTAATGATTATGGTCTACTGAAAATTCTGTTAACAGTTCAAGCCAAACTGAACATGTAACCCTGATTACATTCTTAAATAAACAACACTTTCAAACTTTCTTTATTTATATTAACTCAGATTTTACTTCCGGCGCAGGGTGTAGACACTGATTGTAGGAACTCTGATGATTTGGTTGAAGATTTAAAAAATCCGCTGAACTCCGAGCAGCAAATCCAGAGTGAAGAATTTCGTACATTACTCCGCCAACAGAAGTACCTGAGCAATGTAACCGATCATGCACTTAGAAAGAATTGCCCGTTGATCATTATGAATTTGATGCATCAAAAGACCACACTGCTATCAGCAGATGAGCTCACTGGTACAGACAAGCTTGAAAGGATGTGCTTGCAATCTCTTTCTATTCGTCCATTGTCCGGTTTACCACAAGTAGATATATCAATTCATTGTGATGTGGTAGTCGAGGAAAATGAAGCTTTTCATGACACGCCAATTACAACACCTCCTCCTGTAACTAGTGCAGCTATTCTGGAGTCAGACTTGCCCCAGATAGTAAGTGATTCATTTTTTATATAATTATAAATGCCAACATCAAGGTTTAAAGTAGTTAGAAAACCACAGTTATTTCCTCAACATAAAATTCTTCATTCATTCATATAAGCTAACTATTTCATAAATTACACCAAGCTGAGGTAGTAATCTGTGAAACAAATACTAACCTCCAGGGGTTGTTTCCATGCTTAAGAGGGCATCTGAAAAATTGCAATTCTTAAAGATCGTCAAACATTTTAGTGATTAAGCTAGACATTATGAATAATATTTAACTATCCCTTGTTTGTGCAGTTTGTCTAATTCGATTTGGTTTTTATTCCATTTTCCATGTCTAAATTCATGCAGATATCGATCATTCAGTCATGCCCAAGTGGCATTGATAGAATTGGGATATTACTGAAGAAAAAGTTTCCAGCTCTCCCAAAATCCCATCTAAAGAATAAAGTGAAAGAAATATCGGAGTTCTCTGATAACCGTTGGCAGGTCAGTAAGCTTACTTTCTCTAAGATTTAAACACAAAGTAGCTTTTCGGATTGGAAATTTACCATACTATTAAAAATACCTTACTGTGTTGTATATTGTATTACATATTGCCCCAGCAGGGTACAATTTGTGAAATAGTAACAACTGAGTGAAGATGCATCTGTAATTATAAAGATTACTAGGTAGGCATTACTTTTGGCAATCAGTTGCCAAAATTAACCAAAGATAGGCCGTTCACCACATTTTTAGTTTATATTTAATTTTCCATTTCAATGTATATCCTTTTGCTTAATTGTCTTTGGGGTTCCCTAGTACGTAGATATGGATTATGTATTATGGAAATTGATTGGGCAATGAGTAAACAGTTAATTAGCCGTAGGAATATGAATGGGCGTGCAGTATCTTGTACCATTACCACCATTTCTCTTACATACCTATTTAGTTTGTTAAATAAATTGCATAACCAGTGGTGAATATGATATGTATGGTTTGTAGAGTAAATTTGAGTGTTGAATTTTTCTTTAATTGTATTTTATATCACTACTCTTATTGTGTTGAGTTGTGTTTTTCAAGTCTCATTGTTGAACATTGCACCCTTCTATTAGCTTATTTACATAAATGGCTTACAATTCTGTAATTTTTCTGATCTAATGCTTTCTCATTCAGGTTAAGAAAGAAATTCTGAGCAAGTATGGCCTATCTGTATCACCAGGTATGAGTCGATTCATAGCTCTGTGAATTTATGTTAAGTAGTAGGATTGATTACAATTACGAAAAGAAAAAAGACAATCAGATTTACATTTTCGAAACCAAGATTCTTTTCCTTGCGTATTTGCAGAAAAATTTCGAAAGACAAGGACCATAGCGTCATTCTTGAAAAGATGTCTGCCCCCTTCAGGAAACACTGAAAGCTTATGTGAAACATCTCCACAGAAAAATGCACCCAGTATTGTTCCAGCAAAACTGCTCATGGAGCATCAGTGAGAGATTACTGCATGTGTATAACTAGTGATTGATTGCCTAATGTTGTAGGTTTTTTTATGCAATTTAGTTCTATAGTTATTATTGATTACTGCATAAAATATATATAAGAAACTAATAATTATTTATAATATGTTATTCTCATGGAGGATCAGTGATTGATTACTGCAACGGATAATTATGATTCTTACCATATACTATATGCCCATATGCGTTTGTGCAATAATGCAAGGGATAACTATGATTCTTACCATATACTATATGCCCATATGCTGCAGGCCTTAACATTGCCTTTGGTCTGGGGTTACACATTTAGTTGTCATTTCCTTTTATGAATTGGGTTGGCAATTTGCCATTTATGACTTATAAATGTCTTAAAGTGTTTTGGGCTATAGTTGAAGTTAAATAGACTGCTTTGTTAGGACTCATGTAGCCTGTGGATGGTATTAAGGCTGCGGTAGGGTGTTTCATTATTTTAATATTTTGATGTTTTCTTTTCTCTGCTATAATAGGTTAGTGACAATTGAATTATTACTCCATATTTTAATTGGTTTTTTATGCAATTTAGTTCTATAGTTATTATTAGTTTCTTATATATATTTTATAGCTCATAAGAATAACATATTATAAATAATTATTAGGACAATGTACTAACATACTAGGGTATTACATTTATCTTTAATTATTTAGAAACTATATTTATATTATGTTATTATTATGAGCTATAAGCATAAATATAATACCCTAGTATGTTAGTACATTGTCCATTGCATGAATTACTAATTTATAGAAATGTCTCCCAAAGTAACTATATTTCAGGAGAGAAGATAGAATCATAGAATGAATTACTAATTTATCGCAATAAAGTTTTACCAAGAAAAAGAAAATCAGATAAAAGGGTTAAAAATGCTAAGAGTATGGGCCATTGCATCAGTAAGTTGTACCTTGCTGAGAGGCCCATATATTTTGATACCAAGCTCATCATCGTAACCATCGCCACTGCAAGAAAATGTCAAATGGCACTTGTGATTACTGTTTAGTCACTCTCCTAAAAAAGAAAAAAAAAGCACCTGTTGTTTTTCGGACACAATCAAAACTATGGGCATTCATTGAGTTCGAAAGCCAGACGTTTTCTCAAATTTGTTTTTTTTTGCCTTTTTTTCTTATTATTTATTTTCAGAAGCACCGCTGTATATAAGTTCGCCTGTTCTTCTACATTCTTTCACTTTCCTCATTCCCATTTTCTGTTTCTGTATTTTGCTGTTACCATTTCGGTTTTATAACCATCTGTTTGAGAGAGCAAACAAAAAGTTTCCATTTTTTTAACCCATCGGTTATTTTCACCGAAAATACAGAGAAAATGGCACTTAAAATGAGCTTCCTTCATCACAAGATCCCAGCTCTTCCTGGCTCCGAGCTCAGATCTCACAGAGTTTCAATGGCTTCAACTCTTCACTCTCCGTCAGTGTGAGTTTCATTTCATTACTTTAGGGGGAAAATCCGTTTATATATTTGTTTTTTTTTATGGGTTGTGGTATTACTGTCATGAAGTATTGAA